GGGTCCATGAGTCTTCCACATGAGGCTTCTTTGGCTGCTAAACGCTGTTACGGTATTGTCTGACCTTCTGTTCGGCAATATGATTTTTGCCCGTCTCATTTGGTATGGCCATTTTCGAACTTCACGGTTCCGAAAAGAGCTCCTCCCAGGGGGTTCCTGGATCACTCACCCTTCTCCCCCCTCCTCTCCAACAGCCAGACCCCAACAGAGTCTTCAGCAAAGACTTGCGACCCCATGCGTTTCGCGATCGGGGCTAAATGACCTTTCCGTCCCCTTCCTAATGATAGCTTTAGCTACTATTAAGACACATGACACATCGGTCCCCTCTTTGACGCCGAATGCCCTGTGACAGGGACGGCTGACCCTGGATCGGCGTAGTACTACTCACCGACCCAAAAAGGTCCCAAGCGTAGCGGGTTTGATAAATAGCACAGCGACCCCGTTTCGACGCATTTCGGCTCTAGAGGAAACGGGCAGAAGAACCTTGTCCGGTGCTGGCCCCATGACGGACACGAGGCTCTTCCATTACGGCGCCCGTCACTGAGGAGGAGGGGGGGGGGGGGGAGGGGCTCCCGTCCAGCACGAGCGAGATGCCGGGATGCCCGGTCCGCCGGGATGTGTACCGCGGCGAGCCGAGTGAAACCGAGTCAGGGGCCTCGGCTCTGATACGAATATGGCGGCGTGCCCGACTGAGCTCGCAGTGTTTCGGCCGCGAACGAGCCGGCCCACCGACAGGCCTCGCACGCGCATGGCGGGGCTCTGTTCTCGAGCGAGGCACGGCGCGCGCGTGAATGCGTTCTTCATTTGGCGGCCGGGCTGCCTCTTCCGCCGGCCGCCGCGGGCGAGGCTGCCGGCCGGACCGTCGAGCTGGACAGCCTCTGGGCTGGCCTGTGTGTCCGAGCTCCATGTCAAACCGATTGCACATTCTTATTCCTACATAGATGCAGTGGTTGAGCGCAAAAAACATTGCCTGCGACTTTGGCGGGCGGCCGTCTGTTTGTCGGACGAGCTGTAATACCGATTGGGGTTTTACGTCTCACCGACTGCCAGGGCTATTTCGAGGCGGAACGCCTCTGTTGCGTATTTTATCAGACATTAGGTACGTGAGGATGCGGTAGTGGTGTGACCAGGACCCCACCCCAGGATAGAATAATCCAGAGATGAGCACTCTTACCACTAACCACTATGCCGCTATCGCCCCTCTGCGGCGCGTCTCGCACCCGTCTCGGTAAACTCCAGACTGGTGTTGCTGGGCCCCCAAATTCTATTCTAAGGTTGTTCTGAAGCGTGAGGGGAAGAAAGCGTGTATAGACTGATGCAGGAGACGTCGAATGCAAGCTTACAGTTCTCCCAATTCATCCAGCTTATCTATCGCAAACCAGCCCAGTGACACGTGCTCGGCTGCGCTATTCAGATGGTGGATCAACAGCGCATTTAAGCGTATCACGTGCGTAGCGTTTTGCTTGACGGTTCGCAGGCAGTTAAATAAATTCGCACTCAACGTTCGCTTTTTGCTTCCTGTTCACTTGCAACCAGGAGTGTAGTTCCCTTTTCAGCTGTAGGGCATTCATCCCCCGCCATAACTTGAACTGCAGCCTGTAGATTTGAGAAAAAGTGAGTCAAACTCAGAGAGAAATCTGGTTGCTGGGATATTATCAGGGCACTGTTCGCTTTTTTTCGCCCAGCCAGCCAACTTATTTTGCGAAATCACGCTCCCGTTTTAAACGTACCTAATTGAAGAACCGAACTGTTTGTAGGCAGGGCCATTGCAAGCGTCTAACCAGGCGAGTGGTATCCGGATTCGGCTGATGAGACGCCCCCCACCCTACTTGAGAGTAAAAAGATGTAAAATTCGGAATAATTCCTATTTGCAGGAGCGTGCGAAAGAATTTGCGATTGGGGGAGGAAGGGAACAGACAAATGAAATCTCAAACAATATTGGTTAGCGTGCCAGGAGCTGGAGATGTACATGCACGCCTACTTAGAGCAGTCATGAAATCAGTCAGCTTTACGCATCAGCCATCAATTCCTTTAAAAAGAGTTGTGAAACATGACCAACGCATACAGTACATAACGGAGCCAAAAGCCGCGGAGAGTTTTATCCATAGCCCGCAATTCTAAACAGCAGGCACCCCGACAAGTGCCTCCCATGATTACCCTGCAACTGCCGTTGAGTAACCAGCTATTTCCGATACCACGAGCCAGGGATTAAAAGTTTTGAACTCTTTAATGCGCCTGCTGCCAATGGCGTGCCGGCGCGCTAAAGTATGCATGCATAAACAAAACGTTTTCTATGTCCTTGCTCAGTGGTTTAACCGGGCAGCATTGTACCGCATGACGCCTCTCGTCGGCTGAAACGAGCGAAATCGGTTACGGTAGCCTTCTATCGGCCAATATCCGAGCCATTAGGTGTAGGGTTGCGAGGAAATGGACAGTATCCCAACACATGGATCACGCGCACGCTGGACTTAATGAACACTGGACGTTTTGAGCTCTGGACGATGAGGTTCTGGACGCTGCGAGCCTGGACTTCCTGATCCTCCTCTGTCCACGGACATTAGACTGTTTTTGGATGTTATAAACGCTGGATGCTGCGATTCTGGACGTTTTGACCATATTAAATGGCCGTTATGAGCTCTGGACGTTTCGCCACGCATCCCCCTCTAACCTACCTGGAGTCGCTGTCATGATGAGAGTGGATATGGCCGTCACTCGCGTCAAGGCTTGACATTCCACATCACATCGGAGGAAATACCCAGACGGACAGACAGTTCGTGAGCCCCCATCCCATCCTCAAAGCCTTAGAACTGAGGGATCCCCCAGGCACTTGAAATGTGCCAAAATGAACTTATCGTGGAAATTTCTTGAGACAAGAATCTAAAAAGATTTATTGCTCCTGGATCGGACAAGACGCCCTTGCTGGTGTTTAAACCCGTGTGTAAGTCACCTAACTTCGTGCCTGGCATGCTGTGCGCCTGACACACTAGCTCCAGTACTTCAAACAGCAATACGAAAGGAGAAATGCATGCCTCGTGCGCCGGCGGACTACGCGGCCCTTCCGCTGCAGCGTGGCCTTCAGAAGCAGTCATTGACTGAGTGAGGCCATTTCTGGATGGTACGTGAACTGATTACCGCTGCGTTCGTTGGCGGACGCTCGTAGTAAACATCAGATGCTGCTGACGGCGGCTAGCGGTGACTTTTCCCACGACCGAACGTGTAACCTGCATAATGTATCAGATGTACCGATCCCCAAAACAACGGCCCTTCAGCACGAGGGTGGTAATGGTGTGACCGGCGCGGCTGGGCCAGCCGGCCATGCCGCCCGCCACTTTCGGTTGACAGCCGACGACGAACAGCATGCTGTCCTTTCTTGTCCGGTTGGTCATTTGCATAACGGACGAGTACGGTGGAGCCCTGGGCTGCAACATCGCTACAGCCGCGGCCGACGGTCTGCGATTACCACTGCATCTCTCCGCACATCCATGCTGAAACGCCAGAGCAAACTCACAAGATCATGTCGTATTCCAACCGGCTCCACGGCCTCGACACACACGTGGACACCGCGGTAGGTGAAGAGCGGCGTCTAGCTGCCACAGATGCCCGGCGGCGGCCGCCAGTGGGGCCGGCCGCCCCTGAGGGACGCCTGAGGTACGCGCCGCCGGAGGCCGCCTCACTGCACCGGCACCGCGCGATGGCCGGGGAGCCACAACAGCCGGCGCGGCCGGCAACAGAGACGGCCTCCGCCCGCCGCACACACGCGGCGGCGCGGTCCTGTCCACTAGTCGGGACAAAAGGCACTGGATCACAGAGGTAATATACAAATGGCGGGTACGCGGGTCGCACACGCTGAGCTCACGCAACACTTGTTAGGCACCGCATTGGCACACACTCGCATGGTTAAGGAGCGGCATTAAATGCATGGTAAGGCAAGTTCGAGCAGGACAATATTCCCATGTAAAAATACAAACGCACATACACCATCATCAAATAAAAAAGCGGTCAACACATCAAACCTGCATAGGACAACCCCGCGACGCGTACGTGCTCTGGTTTTCAGATAGCTGAGTATATAGTTGCCATTACAATTCCCACACGTTGAGTCCGTGCACTATGTAAATGCTGAAATCGCATAATTCGTGCGCCAAACAAAGCCTGGCCACCACTGACGTTTGAGGAACGCCTGCCAACATCACCAAGTCATTACTAGTTTGGAGCGGCGTGACTGGCGACGAGCAGAGATCAACGGTCATCGTCTGTTTCTAGCGCCGGAAGACCGAACCGAAACACCGCGCGAGGCGGAGGCTCATCTCAGCTGACCGCCGCGAACGCCCGCATGTCGGAGACAGCACTTAAGGAACCAGCGGTTCTCCCGATTTGACGGGTTACTCTTCAGCACCTCCGTTTCTGAAGCTGGCGGTCGGCGCGGCTGGTTGGCGCACCGAACGCCGCGCTGACCCTCCTCCCAGAGCTCGGCTCCCCCAGACCGCGCCTGGACAGCCGTACGTTACATAAGCCGCTCAACGCAGCAACACAGACTAACGTGCCGCAGCGAGAACCTCGGCGAGAACCTCGAGAACCCAGTGAGAACCGGCGGCCGCGGCTGACCAGCTGGCCGCCGGTCAACGACACCAGTACGCAAAGACCAGTGACACAGAGCGCGCACGACGGGGCGGGCACAGGCGGACGACAGCAGGCAGGGTGTCTCATTACACGGCTGAACGGCGCCCGGTGGCGGCTGGGCGTCATCGTTCACAGCTGCTCAAGCCGGTAGCCGCTGGCGGGCAGCCCCGGACCGCGCCGACAGCCCCTCCCACGCTGGCGGGCGCCGGCCGACGGGTTCGACGCACGTCCGCGTCCAGGCCGACGCGTCAGCTCGGGAGCGCGCGACGCCAGTGCCGCGGCGCCCTCGACAGCCGAAGGGCCGACCCCGACGACGCTCGAGGCGAAGGCCGGCCGGCCGGCTCCCACGGCCGCGGCCGCGGTCGACAGGCGGCGGCCGCGCCGGCAGCCCCGGCCGGGCACCCGTCACACCGGGTCCGAGACGATGGTGACTGCCAGACTCTGGTCGTCCCAGACGAAGGTGTGCGGCAGTACCACCTGCAACGGACGCCGCCCGGCCGTCACGCCACCCGCTCCTGCTCCCGCCCAGAGAGCCCACGGCGCGCGGCCGCTCGCCGCTGCTTGGTGGTCTCCACAAACTAGACATCTGTTTCGGTATGATTCGCTGACGTCAGTTTTTTTTCTCTGCAGCATGCCTCGGTTGGCGTGTATTCAGCGGACATGCAGCCCACTCCAGGGTGCCGCCCGCACACGCCGCGCACGGGTGGGAGCAGGTAACACCCGGCGGATATTTCACCCTGCTAGGAGACATGTCCGCACTGGTCAGCAACCGATACGAACACAGAAGGGCCCATCGGCAGCAGGGCAGTGTTGACACGTGAGGGGAGATGTCGGTGCTGGGTACGTCCCGCTCCGCAGCGGCCTAATTACTGGCGGTACAGAGGCATGTGATGAGTGCGCGCGCGCGACAACGCGCGCACCGGACACCTCCAGATGCTTTCTTCAGACAGTTATAGGCACTTGGGGTGCCTAACGTCAACTTAATAACATACGCAAGGAAAATTCGATGCCTTACTACAACCAGCACGGACAAGAAAAAACGACGCACAGGTAAAAACTGTCATGCAGCTGGTATTGTATACAAATGTCCATGCCGAGATACAGCTGCGTTGGAATACGTTAACAAGCGCACCAGCAGGCATCGATAGGAGCCTCACATCAGTACGAGTTCCAACACATACTAGCCCCAATGTAAGTGGCTAATGATTACACGTAGTGCAGCACCCTACCGCATCTGAACATTCAACCCCAATCATCGGACGCCCGCAATCCTTTGCATACTGGCCACACTTGGCGGCCAGCCCAGGAAGCGCCGGCGATGCGCCACGGGCCGCTAACATGAATGAGAGGCGATGAGGCGTAACTACTATCGACTAAGAAAAAAATGCGCTGAGGCCATTCTTCAAAATGCCTGGCAAAAGGGTCCATGTAAAACACGGAAATCTGACCAACCCAAATTTTCGCAGAAGTGTCTGCGCCGCACTCAGTATCACGTAAACACATCACTGCTAGAGGCAACAGCAATTACGGGGAGAACCTCTAACGCGGGTGACAGTGCCGTGGCGGTGCTTAGCACGATCAAGGTCCCTAAACTCTATTTCGCTTACTAGCATCATTATTTTCGCTCACGGGATCCCCATTACTATTTCGTTCACTAAGTCCACAAGAGTTGCTTAGAAACATCCTTCGATCGGGCAAGCTGGATACCAGTGCAATGGGGTAGGCGGTTACGTTCTTCCGTTGAGAACCCTGGGGATCGGGAGCACGTGCTTCATCCTGTCCAGAGGAAAACGCATGCTTCAGTCGGTTGGCCCTGGGTCCCGATCTTCATTGACAAATGCGAGTCCATTCCCTCTAGGAGCGAGCCCATTTGACGTTCCTGACTGCCCTATGACGTCACGGCCCAAGCCCATTCCTAAGTTTGCCAAGAGGCGAAGTAAGTGCGTTTGTTTACAAGCCGTCACTGTTTACATAGCAACACCTAGCAACAGCCGACGCACTCTAGATGGTCCTGTACGCCGAGCAAATGGGCAGGTTTCGATGACAGGTGGGTACTGTCTCGAACAATGATGTTTTTAATCACAAAACTTGCCAATATCTGTTCAATCGAATAAGGTTTAATTGTACCACCCTACGCGCTTTATGCGTCATGCGGCCTGCACCCCCCTACGCGCTTTATGTGTCCATGGGCTTCAGTAAGATGATTCAATCTGTTGACCACATCTGAAATAAAACGCGTGTTTCGTCGGCACGCATCGGTGACGTCACAATTACTACCTCGTTTGGCGGTGCTTGGCCGTGGGTCAAAGAAGACCTGAGCCCCAGGATTAGCTGAGTTCTTCGGCCAGGTGACCCCGGGAAGGAAACAGGTCCTGAAGCTGTCCTGAACCTGAACCCTGATCCCCAACGCCACGCTGGCCATTTCATTACTGGGGCTGGATAAATCTGGCGCACAACACCACAAGGCATCACGTCACATTAGACATAACACCGAACAGGCCATCGCGAAAGACAGCACAAACCACCACGGTGCTGCGTAATTTGGCCGACTCACAGCATACCTAGCCGCGGCCGTATTCCCCGAGAATCGAATGGCTAATGGCGATCGTTCGAAGCGCACCGAAACGAGCAAATGTGATGGGCGCCAGCAAAGGCGACTCATAACACGACAAAACGTGCAGCAGTAACTGATATTAAATGTATAGCTTATGATACATCATGCAAATTATTGCCTCGCCTGACTGGCCAGCAAGCCAGACACACTGCATAATGACGCGGAAGGCACCGTGCCGGTCATGTCAGCGTGACTGGTGCAATGAAGCTCAGTGTCAATCGGTCTACTTCGGCAGGCTCCCCACGGTGGCAGCACGTCGTCGGCACGCGCTGTGCCGACGAGCGCCGCCGCTAAACGTTCCGCACATCGCCGTCGCAGTTACACCACAAATCCCGGCACGCTTCACCTCACTTGCGACAACAGGGCACGTCCCGATCGATCCGTTCGAGGCCGCCACACACTGCGGAGACGCTGAGCGGGGAGGGGGGGGGGGAGACGGCGCCACGAGGCACCATTCGGACCCGTCCGTCACTCGGACCCAACACGGATGGGCAGATCATGTGCGGATTACGTTGGACGCGCTGCTGGTAACTCGCTCTATGGACGGATCTACCAACACCACACGCCGTGCTGCGAAACTTTCAAATTCAATTGTTGCTATGACGAACTCTACTAAGTGCTTTACTTCAACCAGAACATGATCTTGTCTTTTCCTTGGCAGAGGAAGGATAATTATCAGCAATGTTTTATGCTTGGAAAATTACTTTTCGAAAACAACATCGAATAATCCGCGAAGAAGACATAAATCATCTTACATTCCACGGGGGAATAAATCACTCCCGATGGACCAATGAGGCAATTCACGCTACGAGCGCAATACCTTCGCTGATTGTCCGCCCTGTTGGCGCAGGACACATGCCCGTGAATAAGTGAAACCAAAATGACTTAAGCAGCAGAGATCATGACCCTGTGTTATGATCGCTGCTGGTAGCCACAAAAATCGTTGCAGGTTCGACGGTCGATCCGAGCCAAACCAAACGATTGTCGATCCGAGTGACAACCACACTGGCATAAACGACGGCTACCAAAACTGAGCCTCATCTAAATCATGACTCAGAGATTGGTCCAAAAAGTTTTTAAACATGACTCGACAGGGAAAACATGGCTTTATCGCATTTCAAATCCCACAAATTTTCAGCAACCAACATGCTATTTTGTTGTAGACTTTTTCTTACTTTAACTTTGTCGAAGCGCACAGACCTGAGTGCTATGGCCTATATGCTCAAATATTTGAGAGTAACAGTACGGTGTACTTGATAGGATGAGGATGGGGATAATGATGATGATGATGATGATGATGATTGGGACTTTGGGGCGCGCTGATTATTGACCTTCCACAACGCCCATTTAAGACCAGAGCTTTGCGGAATCGTAACGGGACCCCGAGAATTTCCAAGGCATTTAGTAGTCCCCATTCCCAAGGCATCCCCAACAATTAGTAGGAGACACCGCAACCCACCATGCGTTAAGGCAAACATGTTTTTTTCGGATAGGGCAGATCCCTCTTACACGCTATTCCAAATAATGCCTTTTGTTGTTAGTACTACCTCTTTCGTCCAGTAACGACCAATTCAAGACTATGCGACAAGGAGAGTACCAACTTGAGGACAATACTGCATTCATTGGAGAAGACCCTTCTTAAGTGCCTTTCCGCGCAGCGGGACCCTTCCCTGGGGTGTGTGAAGTCGCTCGGACGGAGCTCCACCGGGCCCCGACGGGGCTCCCATGGGGCTCCCACAGGGCTCCGCCGGGCTCCCGCCGGGGCGTCCGCGAAGCCAGCTCACGGCTGGCGGCGCCGAAGCCGCGGCTTACCCCGGCTAGACGGGGCGGCGCGAGGCGTCTGGACGAAGTGGGGAATTGAGGAAAGCACGAGGCTGCCAAATGATATCGCCATCTTGGATTAGAGTCAGGTTGGAGACTGATGAGAATATTGGCATACTACAGAAGGGCTGTTAAGCGCATAGCATCGCATACTTCTGCAGAATTCGCGGCATTTTAAGCGGCCCCACTTTGCACGCTCACCTGGTCTGGGACGGACAACACGTTCAGGTCGCACAGCATCCGGTCAACCAGCGTCGGCGGCAGGCGCACTTGGAGCCATCTGCCGCGCGCCACGTAAGGCTGAGCTTCCGTACACACCGAGCCCTGGACGGAGGGCGCCACCAGCGTGACAGCGCAGTCGCCCGCCATGGACTTGAACGTGAAGTGTCGGCCGTGCTTCAGGCGGCCCCTGCGCAAGGGTTTGCCTCCGTCAATATCCAGACACGTGACACTGTGACGCCGGCACATTCAACATCGCGCAGTCAACTCCTCCGCTAAACGGCAGACATTCAATTCCCGGGAGGTGTGAGCCACTCGACACAGCGGAGGGTTTGACTTCGCTTAAGTTGGTCGCGAGTTGGGGAGTCCCGAGGCGGAGCGGGATGCGACGCGCGCCTCACCGTAGCGCCAGCGGCAGCATCAGACCCGACTCGAGGTTGAAGGTGAGGTGCAGGCTGTCCAGCTTGTCCAGTCGGTCGGAGGCGGGCACGTCGGGGCCCTCCTGCGCCTCGCTACTGGAGCTGCTCTCGTTGGAGGAGCGCCGGTACCTGCCGGCGGACGCCACGCTCAGGGGACGCTCCAGTGGCCGCGTCAAGCGGACGGCGCGTACGGGTGGGCGTCCCGTATAAAGCACCGGTCCCATTAGGTGCAATATCTGGCTTATCTGGATAAGCAGCTGGTACCGCCTAACGGCGTTCCTATAATGTGACCTCGACTCCACGTGCCCAAAGGAGAAATAAAGACGACCAAGATATGAGTCAGAGTAAAAATGACTTCGAGACGTGGTAGACTCGGACGACGAAATATTCCCGCCATCACATTATTCCCGCTTCTATCTAAACCATGCGCCTTGGAGAGCTTAACCAACAAGCAGCAGATTCCATATCAACACAACAAAACCAGGTCATCACTCACATGGCCTCGAGCGGCTGGGCAGCACGGCCGCCGCCGCTGTTGACCTGCATCAGGCCGCGCTGTAGCGTGTCGCGGATCTGCTGACGCTGGGCGGCGCTGACCTGGTGCGGCGCGGCGGCGGCCGCCGCCGCCGGGTCGCGGCGCGCCCAGGTCACCCACGCCGACACGCCCGACAAGTTGCTGCCCTGGACGTCGATGCCGCAGTCCACCTCCTCCTGCACGGCCGGGTCCAGCTCGAAGATGGACTCGCCGCGCCGCATGTCCGTCACCAGCAGCGGGCCGCCGGCGCTGCAAGGCCGGCGGGGGCACGGGGTCCGTCAGACGTGTCACGGGGTCAGGAGTGTCACAGGGTCAGATAGGTCACGGGGTCGGATGGGTCACGGGGTCAGACGGGTCATGGGGTCAGGCGAGAGATAGAGGACCAGGCGTGACACAGGGTCAGGTGTGTCAAGGGGTCAGGCGTGTCACGGGGTCAGACGGGTCATCGGGTCATCGGGTCAGACGGGTCATCGGGTCAGGCGTGATGTGCTGAACCGTACCCGGTGACACACTTCCGTTTGATAAACATGAATCAAAGACTGACATTTTGAATTGCAAGGATAAATTGCTACCGCGCTGGTAGAAAGACTGCAATATCGACTATGTGAACATATTTCCACCATTAGTTTAAAAACCGTAAACCATTGTCATTAACCCCCTGGCAGCAACGTTGCACCTTGCAGCTCAGTTTTTCGTCTGAATACACCAGCACGAGCTTATTCCGGGTTAAGGACTGGCAACGCACCTGACCCGTTCCTGACCATCGGCCCCAGCATCCCCACTGTCCACCCTCAACGGCTGTCTCTTTGCCTCTGACTGCAACCCCAGATATCCCCGCCGTCCACCCTCGACAGATGTCCACCTGTCCCTAATCACAACCCCAGCATCCCCACTGTCCACCCTCAACAGCTGTCTCTTTGCCTCTGATCACAACCCCGGCATCCCCGCCGTCCACCCTCGACAGCTGTCCATCTGTCCCTGACCACAACCCCAGCATCCCCGCCGTTCACCCTCGAGAGCTGTCCTTCTGTCCCTGACCAAAGTTATCCCCTCCGTCCACTCTCGACAGCTGTCCGTGTCCCTGACCAAAGCCCCGGGCGGTCTCTCACCCGCGGCAGCGTTTCATGATGTCCACGAGCCCGGCGCCGTTCCAGTGCTGGACGGCCTCCAACTCTTCGGTCGTGATGCCAACGATCTGCACGAACGAGACGGGCCCGAACGGCGTGTCGACCTGGCCCAGCTCCGGGTCGGCCGCCAGCAGGATGTGCTGCAGCCGCGACTCCCCGCCGTCCAGCGCCACGTGATACGACACGTGGTCGCCGCTCACCAGCAGGTTGCCTGCGGCGCAGCGGGCTCGGGTCAGCTGCAGCGCGCCCGAGTCGCCTAGCAGCAGGGCGCTGCCGCCCACTGGAGACCATGGCAGGGCGTGACCAGCCCGGCTGGGTCTGGAGGAGGAATCTGGCCGACGGGCTGCTCCATTGGGGCGCGTTCGTGACCCCTCCCCCCGCCCTGGTGCGTTTCATCTTCAGATTGCCCAATTGGAGAACCCTTCAGGTTTCCCAACTGAAAACTATTACCACCTACCACATTGTACTGGGTTCCAGATTACACAGCTAAGAAACCTTGCAGAACATCAGGCTATTTACACTCTCCATCCACGCAACTCCAGGTTCAGACGCTTTTCAAGAGGATGTGTTTGGCATCACTCCCACAAGACCAGCCTGAAGGACACATCTTACCCGCTAGTTATTTAGACTGGATGACGCATCTGACCCCGGGGTTATCGAAAGGTCGTCTCTGACCGCTGGGTCACCCGACCTGAAAGTGCGTCTTACCCACTAGCTACACGACAGGAAAGCGTATCTAACCCGCCGGTCGCCTGCCGGGGGACGCATCTGACCCCGGGGCTAGCCGAGGGGAAGACGTCTCTGACCCAGGACTAGATACTGCCCCCACATTAACCGCCTGGGGAGCGTGCATGCGCGGCGCTTTACCTGACTGCAGGACGTATTTGGCGAGCGCCTGCATCATGGCGGCGGGCCAGGTGGGCGGCGTCTGGTCGCCGGGCTCGCGGCGCAGGCGGAAAGTCAGCTCCAGCCCCAGGCCGCTGGGCGTGTCCGGCCCGCTCAGCTCGTGCACGCGGCCGTCGCCATGCAGGTCCGACAGGCCGAAGCTGGCGGCGCCAACGGCACGTGACACGGGCGCGGCGGCCGGCGCGGCACGGCGGTGGTTCGGTGTAAACAAGCGAAGGAGCGCACGTATGGGGCGGCACACGGAAGTGTACGACCAAAGGAAGGGGTGGGGCGCGGCGGACATGTGGCAGTAATGTGATATGGTACATATGCGATAAAGCTACACAGGACATAGGTGACACACTTGGCGCATGGGACACGTGAGAGAGTGTCAATGGAGACAATGAAATGGCTGTGGTATGACTATGGTGACAGGTGGCACGGGAGTACCTGCCACGGACAGCACGTGGGAGAACGCGTGGTACTGAAGACACGAAACAGGGGTTGTATGAGAGCAGGTGGAACGGGTAGTACAGAAGGCATGCGACGCGCGGAACATCTCAGGGGAAAACTTCGGCTACAGGACAGTCGCAGACGTTAGACCAGCAGCAGACGTCGGTCAAGAATCACGCACGAAGCAGAAGCCGACGAGTGCACCAGCGTACCAAGCACGGCCTTATCAACCGGTCCTGACACCGGCACGACGCCGAAGCGCGCCCGTCGTCCTGAGAGGGCGTGACGCGAGCGCCCGCAGCGCACTGGAGCGGCGTCACCGACGGCGCGGTCGGCTCACCTGACGTAGTGCCAGTGTGGCGGCACGTTGTCGTCCGGACCGCCGTCGCTGCGGTACATGCTGATGTAGTCCAGTGGGTCAGGTCCGCCCAGCCTGCCAGTGCGTCACAGCCAGGTCAGCGGACCTGATCAGGTCTGGACACGGTCAGGGCGTCATTATGTCATGGTCACAGAGGGAACTTTTAGGCTCACAGTAGTCAAACATCAATACATTACACTTGCACAAGTTGGGAAGAAAGGTATAACATTTCAAAACCATCAACACTTCTAAAATAGCATGTCATGGTCACTTGCAGTTTCCCCAACCACTGCAAAACAAATGAAATCACAAGACAATAAGACCCACAAAGGACAAAACATGCCAAAATAATTTTTACAAACCTAACCTATAACATGCTTACAAGGAAAAAAGGATCTTTTCACTTAAACAACATGCATAAATGCCTCGGGCTTTCGGGCCTTGGTATCACAGCTCCAACTCAACAGCTAACTTTAACTCTAATGATTTTGACTGGAAGACTGTCAAAGTGCCCTGTTCTCTCATGGAATCATTTGATGCAAGGTCCCATTCCAGGCTCCTTTCTAGGAAGATGACCTTTCTTTACTAGTAGATCTACACCACACACACTTTCTACAGCTTGACTCAGCACATCCCTTCTTGAAACTGAGCCTGATCTGCAGCCTGAACTCACCAGTACTTGACCACAGCTGTGACTTGCAGAGGATTGAGCTGGTCAGCATACAGCCTACTGCATGCTTTGTAGAGGGCACACAGCCCAGGCGGTATACAGGCATCCATCCTGCTGCCTCTGCTGCTCCTCACCCTGAACTGCTACCTAACAAAGGAATGCCAAAATGTCAACTGACAATAATTTTGCAGCATTCAAGACTTATGGTATGGCAGAACAATGTCAGTATATTTGTCATACATGTATGTCATATGTTGCCTCTCACCTGCAAACATATTTCAATATATTTCAAAGTATTAAGCATGCACAGAAAAGCAACATAATGATTGGCCTTACCAGAATCCACACAAAGTGACAAGGCCATATGCACATTGTTATGGCATCTCTTCTAGGTATGTGTTATCAGATGATCCAAAACCTCTCAGATTATTCACTATTGCAAATATGACAGCAGCAATGCCATTTCTTATGTACAGATTAAGTTGAGTAATCAGGTTTCACCCATGACATAACACTGATGCAGGAAATTACCTATCCCGACAAAGGTGCTCACAATTATTCTTTTGCCACAACTTTTTCAGAATGAGGATGTCTGTAAAGCCAAATACATTTTGGCTCTTCCAATGCTCGCCATTTTAGCCACCACCACCTACAATTGATGCCCACAGGCTTCAGACACAAAACAATGTGACACACTCCAGTATCACAAAGCTGGCAGACATTCAAAATAGTTTTTCTGATGTAAAAACATATATTTACAAGTGTGGTAACTATCACTAAACAATACCCACACACACAATGATCACACATGATGTGGGCAGGACAGCAATCTACAATGGCCAGCACCAGCCCATGTCAGCATTCACAGTGTGCAAAGAGGTGACAACAGGCTGCAGTTGATCTCTGTGGCTAACATGTTCATAGAAATCAAAACTGGTTAACAGAAAAGTAGTATCTAACTTCATCAAATCAAAGCAGCTTAACAGAAAAAATATCACCTGGCCTGATCAGGGATCTTGTGCCAAATTTTGATGTTGTGCCTGGTATGGTGCACTTAGGCCTCATGCATATGAAGTCTGCGTAACTAGATTTAGTTTCTCAGTTATACAATATTGGCACCATTGGATACAAAAACAGTTACTCAATATCTCTAGAAACTTCAATGGGTTGCATGCATCAGATGACAGTAAATTACATTCCATCACACCATCATCCATCCAGCTCTGGTACCTCCCCAATACATGTCACCTGCTCTTGAGGCTTCAATAAATGGGTCCTACCCTCAGACTCTCTGTTAGACCGGAGAAAATATCAATTGAAGGATGCCACTTTCCACAAGCATGCCAATAACATCTTATGCTTTTTGCATATTCCCGAACACACCAGCCACCTCCCCACCCCCCAGACACACCATCCGGTTCCTAGATGTAAATAAATGCAACAATGAATGCGCCGCATCTTTATGTGTATGGCGCGCCTGTCCATCCCAGCTGTTGATGACGTCATTGTTAATTTGCGCTTCCTTCACATCGGTTGTTGTGGCGTGTCTGGGACATCACACGCACACGCACAGCAATTTGCATCAGAAATGTACTCTAAACGTTGCAATTTGCTGTGTTAGAGAGAGAGAGAGAGAGAGAGAGAGAGAGAGAGAGAGAGAGAGAGAGAGAGAGAGAGAGAGAGAGAGAGAGAGAGAGAGAAGAGGAGAGAGAGAGAGAGAGAGAAGGAGAGAGAGAGAGAGAGAGAGGAAGAGAGAGAGAGAGAGAAGAGAGAGAGAGAGAGATAGTACCTTATAGTATATATATATATATATATATATATATATATATATATATATATATATATATATATATATAATACAAAGACGCTTGGATGAAGCAAACTAATTGCCTTGTCATGCTCTTCCGAACCATGGTCAAAATTGAAATGTCATCAAAGTTGGCTGAGTTTTCAAGGAAAAACCTGTTCGCCGAAATCCAATGCAATGCTAAGTCTATGGTACTACGAATTCTAGGATGACTTTTAAAGGTGGGTTTGAAGGATGGAAATTGAACGTTTAACTGGAATCTGAACTTTATTTTATAATTGCAGCACTCGGATTACCCACAATGGTCCAAATATCTGGCCTCATTCCTTTCTAAAATCCACGTTCATGGGTTCCTTAATGCCCCTGTAGAACTTAGAACAAAAAGTTGGCAAAGCTTCTGAGTTCTGTTGGTTAAGAAAGAGCAGAAGAAATCCAGTTTGGCAAAGCCTCTGAGTTCTTCTGATCTAGAAAGGGTTCATCAACTCATTGCAAAGTGAATGGCGACGGAGGTTTATTCAATGCAGTCATTTAACGTCCGCTTTCTTAAGCTCATTGAAGCATCATTCATAAGCATAAGGAAAGGAAAAGAATCGTGCTTTCTCGAAATTAAGCGGATCATATCCGGAGATTTGTTTCGGTGGAGTTGACCTTTCATCATCAGGGTCTTTTGTCTACGCCCCATCCCTCCCCAAGGCCCTGGCTTCGTCCCTGATTGGCGGCCCTGGTTAAGGGTTACAGAACAGCGCCTGATAGCGCTGGGCTCACATACGCGTATGGCCAGGTCCCCGTCGAGAGATTCCGAAGACAGGGTCCCTCCCCTGCAAGGTGATCCGTCGGTCACGTGACCCGCGACCACTCCCACCCGCAAGGCTACAGGACAGGGCCCCTGCAAGGAGACCTGTTGGTCACGTGACCCGTGGCCACTTCTACCCGCTAGACTCCAAGGCAGGTCCCTTGCGAGGAGGCCTGTCAATCCTGTGACCTTTGACCACCCATACCTGCAAGGTTACAAGACAGGGTCCCCTGCGAAGCATCTTGTCGGTCACGTGAGCCGTGACCACTCCTACCCACAAGGCTACAAGCGGTCAGCCGCCCGGCCCCGGCGGCCGGCCAGCCACTCGGCGTCCCTAGCGAAATAAATGAAGAAAAATGCCCAACCGAAAAATTATATCAAAAATGTATTTTACACGATCCCCGATACGAAACCCTATTTATTAGAGCAAAAACATATCGATAACAGCGGCAGAAAGCACCAACGTATCACTTTATTGCATTGCAACGGCAATGAATAGGTGACGCAAAGTATCTAAGTCGCAGGCAGATACGATCGCCCGCACCAACGATATAACAACTCGCACGCGGTTTTACAAACGAGCCGTTCCCTTACATCTAAGTCACCGTGTTTCACGAATCTAATCTTTCCCCGCGCGGAGTCTCCCGCAGCCGCGTCACCTGCCGCTAGGGCCAGCCGGTAGACCCGCTGGGCCAGCGGTAGGCCCGGACGGCCCAATACACCACGTCGCCGGCAGAGCAGGGCGCCGTGGCGCAGAGGCCTCGTCGCCTCCCGCCCTCTCCCTGGCCTTCCCTCAGAGAGAACAGGACGCCAGTCGTTGAGGTCACCAAAATGTTATGGTATACAGCTCGAATTTGCCAACTCATCAAAATAAGGACACAGATATAATCACTGCGCACCGCGATCATGATTCCTACGGTATACGTCGTTCTTGCATGAAACCTGCAGGATTCCATATACGTACAAAGCCATCTCCCGCGTCGCTCCGGAGTGTTGCCATCTTCTCGGACCTGCAGCCTAAAATCTTTCCTGCACGCATGTTGAATTGTTAGGTTCCCGTGTTGCTGAAGCATGGACGTGCATAATATGAATCGTGAGTTCATTCATAAGTCATAAAGCGTCGCTTCTGTGAGCCCACAGCATAACTGGCCTCTAATCTGAGTTTGCTTCTCTGCTTTTAGGCGTGTTTTCGTTCAACCAAGCCTTTGCCTAGTTCAAAAATATATTCACTTAGCGTATGACCAACATTTACAGCGCTGAGTTTCCGGCAGTACACCACATCTTTAACGTTTGTCAGAATCACAGATTTTCATCTTTTGCATCTGTCTCTTGTTTGGCACCGTAAAAGTATTATTTCATAATGCAGCAACCTGCAATATGTATAGTACATACTACTTGCACGAACTCACAGCTTGGTATACGTTGAATCATGCAATGCTACCAAACTGGACATTCCACTCCTTTTTCCAGTGTTTTAACGAAAAATCCATGACATCAGCCTGTCATGTGCGTGTCAGCTCCGCAATAAATGAAAGCTGTGCTTAGCACCCGTGACTTTTGGAACAAATACTTTCTTTTTTGGACAAAAACCGTGCAATTCTACTCGACTACACACATCAGCTCCTGGAAGTGAAGCTGCTGCCGGCGTGCTTGTAGCTCCCCTCTTCCGGCTTCTTCTTCCGGTGGGATGGCGCCCGCTTCCACATTAGGCAGGTTCTTTAAGAGTTCCTTACTGGACACCACAACCTCATCAACAAGGGCAAGTGGCCAACAGACTCCCCTGACCTACCAAGTCCTCTGGACCAGAACTTGGGGAATGCGTTGTCAGAGGAAGTGGAACGATGTCGCCGCCAGAATTTTCCCAGTCGGGGCGAGCTGATGGATGCCGTCCTGCCTGTATGGGAGAAGGTACTAGAGTTAGACAGATAGATAGAGATGGAGATAGAGGTGTAGGTACTAGACACCACAAGTACGGGTGTAATTACTGGAGGAGGTGGTTGGATTGGGGCTGAGGAGACAGATTCCTTAACTGTCACAAAATTGGATTTCCCTCTCCCAATTTTCCCCCGCAGAATGCACGCTTCCACGTTTTCCTTTGGGAAATGCCATTTTCAGGTCAATTTGTCCCCAAACTCTTGTTTGTTGATAGATTATCCCCAAACCCTCGAACTCCCAAACTCCCACCCAATCCTGACTATCCCCCCCCCCCCCCTCCTCCCCCAGTCTCAAAGGCGTGGTTATATCCACGACCGTACGGAGCGGTATCCGTTAGCGAAAGCAAAGTCATAGGTGTAACTAAGAAGGCATTTTCGAATACATTGCGAAATTGAGAAGTTAAAACAAATTGCTACAATGCGCAGTCATCTCGTCTAACATCAAAGTTCAAGCAGCCATATAGCGCGTGTGGCCATGATCATCCTAAAAGTGAAAAGGCCGGAAACCAGACTACAATTTGCATTTATAGACGTTTCACAAATCTCAGACTATTTAAAGCTAATTTGCAATTGAAGAACTTCAGGATGCAAGAAGAATCAAGGCCTGGGAAGCCTTAGCAAATCAGCACACTTTTGGGCTCTCCTACTTTTAGGTAGCATCGGCGTTTATCCACGCAAAAATGAGATGCTAGCAATGCGCATGCATGTAACCGCTATTAAATCTTCTGTTGACATATTCTCATGTTGACAGATGTTGCGTGCTGCTTTTGGACAACTTTTACAAAAGATTCTTGTTCGTGGCATTTGGGCCACCCTCACAATTCTTGAAGGTGCCAGCACAGGTAATGAGCTGTGAGGATCTGTGTCGTGCATTATTCCAATGCTGATCTTTAAGACTAGTTAATCGCTGCAAGGTTAGCGGCGGCACGTGACTCGGTGTGGTTCTCCTTTTCTACGCGTTTCCCACGCAAATTTTTCTGTTATCTGCGTTGAAAACCAAACGCAAGAAAATCGTTCGACTGAAGAATACGAAGTTGCTAAACGTGTGAAGCTTTGATGATGGATTAAGTTAGTTTTTCCCTGGCAATGCCAAGTGCACCTTGCTCCCCCCCCCCCCCCCTCCTAATAAAAATACCTGCGGCCTATTAGGGTTTTGATAACCAAAACACAGTTACCCTGGAAGCAACGAAGGGGCCCCTGGCCTGGAAGGAAACCTTTAACTTGTCAAGAGCGACAAGCGTTTCCACGCTTGCTTTGCTGCGCTGAGTTGAAAACACCAGTAATTTATTCATCTTTTGGGGTTGGATTCACGCTACTAGCTGCTCTAGGTGCCGAGATCTTGCGCAAAATATGAATAACAGTCGCGAATTTCAATTTCCATTTTCAGCCAACAAATTTCATTTTGTTCGCTTATGCACGCGTGACGAAGTGCCGAAATATCGCAAAAATGTTTGCTCATGTGACATGACAATTCATGTCACGGGATTGTCTGCCCAATTCCCTATCAAGGCATACCGCTCCCCGATGGCTCCGTGCCCTTGGCGCTGAGATATGGCACAACACTTTTAAACTTGTCAAAACGTACGAAATTCAGTCCGTCTTGAGTGTGTGGGTGCGGCACGTTAACCATGCGTACGCACACGCGGTAGCGCACGACTGGCCGTTTAATTCCCTATCGCGGTAATGCCAGTTCCGTGTGGCTTCGTGCACGGGTGCCGAGATATGGCATAAAACGTAAAAACCAACGAAACCAGCGAAGTGCATCTTTGCAGCCAGTGTGCACGCGGAACGTGACACGTACGACAACACATCTTATGCCATTTTGACTGCCCGTTTGATCGCTTATCGAGGCATACCACTGTTAAGTGGTTTTGTGCCCTGGGTGCCGAAATATTGCAAAAATGTTCAAACCCGTCAAAATTTGCAGAATCATTATTTCAGCATATGTGCACCATGACACATGGCCCGTGTGACGGCAAGCTTAGTGACACCCAGTGGCCTGTTCCACTCATTATTGACCCTTGAAACTCACGAGTCCCCCCGTACCCCCTGTCCCCAGATGTGGTGCGAACCGTGAAAATGGCGTAATCGTAAACATCCATCATGCCGGCGCGTGTGCGCGTGACAGGTGATACGTGGGACGGTACCGTTTTGGCAGGGCACATTCTTACATTTGATGCTCTATCGAAGCGTGCTTCCCTCGGGTCGCTTCGAGCCCTGGGCGCCGAAATGTCGCAAAGACATGTAAACTCGTCGAAATTAGCGAAGTCTTTAGATCAACACGTGGTCGCCATAACACGCGACACGTATAACCAGTCATCATCACCTTGCCCGTTTCACTCATTATCAAAGCGTGCCACTCCCGGGTGTGTCCGTGTCCTGGGTGCCGAGATCTGGCACAAAACGTGTAAATTGTTGGAGAGCAAAATCCATCTATGAGCGCGTGTTCGTGATACGCGCGATCGTACCGTCGCGCATGGCACACCTTTGCGTGCCACTCCCACGTAGCTCCGCACCACCGTTACGGAGATATTGGCGCGAGATGGCATGATCGGGGAAGCAGTTAAACGCGGCCGCATGTCATGAGTGCGTCACGTGTTACGCTACCGGGAGCCGGGGCAGCACGGTTCCATCGCGGCGTAAAACAGCCGTCATGCAATCCATTACCCTGGGCTCATTTGCGAGCGGGATGTTGCAGAATGCGCTTAACGGCAGGGTGCCAGGGAGACAGAGTGAATTGACAAAAACGCTATTGTGACGTTAGAGCCTTGTATTCGGCGCCGACTTTCAAAGCCATGCCGCTTGCAACTTGTCTCGCGATTCGCAGCGTGTCTGGCATTGGACAAACTCGGAGCGCGCACTGAAATTGTGACTGCAGCAACTGTGAATGTTAGGACACAAAATGCATGCCTGTGCTCGCATTGGGTGCTGAGATGTGACCTAAAACTAAAAACCTGCCAAAAAAGGTTAATTTCATATTTACAACACACGTGCACGTGCCACGTGCGGCGTGGTACCATATACTCACCACCATTCGACGGCCAATACGGTTGTCTGTCCAGCTAAACAACTGTCGTGTCGTTGCGACCCTTTGTATCAAGACATGGCTCCAGGAGTACATGCGCGTCGGCCTGTCGGTCGGAAGTCGTAAAATTTGTGTCACCCACGTTAAGCCTACGGGGATTTTGAGACATTTTTGCGCTCACCACGCGCTCGTTTTTGCACAATGCAGATCTATTTTTGGACACAGACGCATCCTGCCAGCAGCCCTTGATCGTGTAAAAATATCATTAAAAAATTCCTGACCGTATAACCTGCTCATGACTGCAAGGAATCGGTGACGCACAGCTCACTCAGTCTTTTTGTTTAGCATAATGGTTAGATTCTAGCAGAGCTCCTTGCGTCGGCAGCCCCACACCCCTCCCCTGGGCACAACAGAGTGAGCGAGCTGGCCACGTTCCGCGCAGACGGTCAGGCCGAACCAATTTTTGACGAGTGTACGCAACAGCAGTGAGAGAATGAGGTCGCGAGGGCCTCAGGGGAGGACAGGGACGTAACTGGACCACGCGGAGGACAGGGCCGTGACTGGATCAACCGAGGAGGGCAGTGCCGTGACTGGATCATCGAGGAGGGTAGTGCCGTGACTGGATCAACGAGGAGGGCAGTGTCGTGACTGGACCACCGGGGAGGGCAGGGCCGTGACTGGATCACCGAGAAGGCAGAAACCGTGACTGGATCACCGAGGAGGGCAGGGCCGTGACTGGACCACCGAGGATGGCAGTGCCGTGACTGGATCACCGAGGAGGGCAGAGCCGTGACTGGATCACCGAGGAGGGCAGGGCCGTGCACTGGACCACCGAGGACGGTAGTGCCGTGACTGGATCACCGAGGAGGGCAGTGTCGTGACTGGATCACCGGGGAGGGCAGGGCCGTGACTGGACCACCGGGGAGGACAGTGCAGTGACTGGACCACCGAGGAAGGCAGTGCCGTGACTGGATCACCGAGGAGGGCAGGGCCGTGACTGGATCACCGAGAAGGGCAGAGCCGTGACTGGATCACCGAGGAGGGCAGCGCCGTGACTGGACCACCGCGGAAGGCAGGGCCGTGACTGGACCACCAGGAGGGAAGGGCTGTGAGTAGACCATCACCGAAAACATCTTCGCGAGCAAGCAGCCATGTGAGGACAAAGCTGTGACCATGTGGGGCTGGGGGGTGGGGGGTGGGGGGGGGGCAAGGTCAGGCACACAGAGCTCCACGTACAGTTATGGTGGAGAACAAGATCACGCACACGATGTGGTTTTAGCGCTCAGATCCCAGTTACTGCACCACGGCATGCTTACCGAAGCGTTAACAGATGAAAGGCTGTTGATGTGATGACACTACAATGCTTCTTGACCGATTGGGCTTTGCAATCTGGGAACACCAATTTCATACACCGCTCACAAAAACAAAACTTTATGGGCCTACGGCGGGTGGCAATCATCCACGCCAAGCCTTTATCGTGCACTCAAATAACGCGACGGAATCGAATGGGGCCTCGGGGAGCAGCAGTAGTAGCTCTGCATTTAGCCACCAGTCCGACGGTGTGGAGTTACGTGCAAGCGCGACGAGCACAGCGTTCGGAACTGTCGCAGTCCGCATCCGAGGACGTAGCAGCGGATGACTCAGGGTAAATGACGATCAAATTCGTGTTTGAAGTTGATTTTGAAGGAAAAACTCCCTTTACACGGAAGGACTACGATGCCCTGCTTGCCGCCTCGCCCTGGTCCCCACGCATCTATGACCGCACGCTCTCTCATCTGCTTGCGCGTCATCACAGCCAGCTGCCCACGGGCCGTGCGTTTCCTCCACCCTGGCAGCCTTTCTCTCCGCCACGCAGGTGTCGTGGCACGTCTGCGCCAGTACGTACGCATGTAATAACCTCTCGGGACACGCGTCCCACTCGTTATCGTATTTATGACACGCATTGACGTGCATTTGAATACATGTCGACAATACAACCCAGACGCGCAGTGGTTAACGCGGACGCGTTAACCACTACACTACCGGCACCCTCCTCGCCTCCACGCGGGCACCACTCCCACCGCGCCCCCGTCGCCGCGTGTGCGTCACTTCCGCCGCCGGAGAGGCCTGGCTCCCGCAGGGTCTTCCGCCGGCTTTGTGGTCGCCGGCTGGTGGCGGTCTCTGACCGTGCCAGGAGGCATTCACGCGCTGCAGGCGCCCCCGGCCGCCGCTGTTCCGGCGACGCCCAGTCCTCCGCCGCAGGACACAGGCGCTGCGCTCAGAGGTCCGCAGCAAGCGACCCTGCTTCATCGCAGCAAAAGGAGCCGCTTGGCTGGACGGATCTTGCATGACCATAAGACCAGACAAGCTGACCCAGCGTGCCCACCGCAGGGTCAGCTTTGTCGGTAGACCTTGCTGCGTGTGAGATGACCTAACTGGGGTATATCCCGCCGGGCAAAGCCATGCATCCGGAAAATCAGCCAGCGCAGTTCACCAGCGAGTGACGGCATGAGGGCGGATGCACCCGTCCGGCGGGAGGCGACGCTCGACCCATGTTCTGCTGAGTGACCACCGACGAGCGGAGCACGGGCGCCACCAGAGCAAAGCGGTTTATGTCGTCATATGCCTGGCAGACACTACTCGAGCGCCGATGCGCAGCAGATACTACCCGAGCACCGATGTGCAGCAGACATTACCCGAGCGCCGATGCCCAGCAGGCACTGCTCGAGTGCCGATGTCCAGCAGACACTACTTGAGCGCCGATGCCCAGCAGACACTACCCGAGCACCGATACGCAGCAGACACTACCCGAGCACCGATGCACAGCAGACACTACCCGAGAGCCGATTCCCGGCAGACACTACCCGAGCGCCGATGCGCAGCAGACACTACTCGAGCGCCAAGTTTCTAATCGGTCATTATTCTGCGCAAGCAGCGATGCTCTTTCGCCGTTGCTCGCCTCTTGCACGCTGCTCTTCTCGCCAGTACCGGCGAATCACGTCGAAGCTCGGGCCCCGTCGGTCTGTCGGGCGCACGACATTCAGATCGGTGTCGACGGAGCTAACGGGTGCCCCGGATGCTGGCTCGACATCAAGTCCTGCATGGAGCTGCTCCGCTATAAGAGCAGTGCAAGGCTTCGAAGAACAATGACTTTTAGGCAAACACATTGAGAGGAAGTTATGTCATAGCTTTTAATGAAGCTTTAATGGACACCCATTACTGGGACGAGAGACCTCATGAAAGCGGGAGAAAATAAGCATGTTTGGGCTTGAGTTCATCGTTCATTGGACTGAACTTTGTTGCAGCTGAGCGCCTTCTCCGTTATGACAATTCACGGATGTTGCCACCATCCACTTAATGGTGAAAGGGGCAAACGGCAAACTTTTAGCGTCACCATCCTTGGCAGTTCAAGCTTTTTTGACGCTATGCCTACGGCGATGCATGGAAAGAATGCCCTCAAAACGCTCAAAATTGCCGCTAGTCTCCTGCAGTCAACTGCCGGAAAATGCCGTCTCTGTCCGCGCTGCCACGCCAGAGTATCTCGGGGGTTCCCCGGAATCGCAACGCGTCCCAGAGACGAAGCTGAACACCGAGACGGCCCGGTTATGGCCGCGCGCGGAGAGCACGGTCCGGCCACGGCCGCGCGCGGAGAGCACGGTTTGGCAACGGCCGCGCGCGGGGAGCACGGTCCGGCCACGGCCGCGCGCGGAGAGCACGGTCTGGCAACGGCCGCGCGCGGGGAGCACGGTCCGGCCACGGCCGCGCGCGGAGAGCACGGTCCGGCCACGGCCGCGCGAGGAGAGCACGGTCCGGCCACAGCCGCGCGCGGAGAGCACGGTCCGGACGCGGCCGCGGGCGGAGAGCACGGTCTGGCAACGGCCGCGTGCGGAGAGCACCGGCCTGCCCACGGACACGTGTGGAGAGCTCGCCACGGAGCGGGCTCGCGTCCGCACATCAGGCTGGCGCCATGCGGCGGTGCGCGGCCCTGGTGGGCTCGGTGGGACTGCCACGGCGCCCTTCGCCCTCCAGACTCTGAGAGCGGATCGGTGTCGGGCGCCATATCGACTCCGATGATCCCCCACGGGCTCATCCGCCGCACTCGAAGAAGCCTCAGCCGCCACCCGCCCACCCCCTCGTCCTGTCTCGGGACATGTCCGTTATGGGTCTTCGGAGATAAACGGCGACCCTAGCATATCGGTGGCCTTCCCAAACTTCATATAATGGGTAGGTGCACGCCCTCCTTCAGTGGCGGGTCCAGGATTTCGTCAAGGGAGGCTCATGAAGGTCATGGTTCAATATGGCGCCCGCCGGAAATTGGTGATCTCCCCAACGAAGAAGTCCCCAGATTTCAGCTATGTTGTTTTGAGATTTGTATGCCTTAATCCATGGCGTATTTTCCGCCCAAATAGTCCGTCGGATTCAGTCTCTTTTATTTCGATAGATAATTTACATTTCTTTCTCCATATTGAGCATGAAGGTTCGGGACGTTTGTAGTGCCCCTGAACTTTGGCACGATATTTTGGCGCCCCTTCGGCCGGCCCAAAGGGGAGGGGCATCGACTTATGCCCCCCCCCCCCTTCCCTCTGGATTCACCAGGCTCTCCTAACACTGTTCCTGAATCCAAAATGAAACTGTTTGTGCTCACGTAAAAGGATTTGCACAAATCCGGCGCCGCCCATCACATTCCCTCCCAAAAGTTTCAGCAATCTTGTCCAGTCAAGGTGGGGCGCGCGGGAGGGGAAGGGGCGGGGGCTCTGCCTGCAGACGCGTCTCTCCCGGCCGGCGGCCGAGGCGCGGCAGGTCGACTGGGCCGGCCAGCGTCGGTGCCGACAGCCAGTCGGTGAGACGGCGCCGACGTGCCAGGCCGAGCACCGCGCCGCGCGCCCGGGCCAGGTGAGTCGGACGCGAGTCTGTCACACGGGAGACAGTCTGTCCGCCCGCCGGCCGCCAAAGGTGCCCTGCTGGTAACTGTTTGTCGTTTTTCCGACGTCCGTGGACGAGGTCCTGGGTCACGTAAGCTGCAATCCGTCTGCTTCAGTACGTCACCGCAGCTAAGTCGTGCTCTCTCTCTCTCTCTCTCTCTCTCTCTCTCTCATCTCTCTCTCCTCTCTCTCTCTCTCTCTCTCTCTCTGCTCTCTCTCTCTCTCTCTCTCTCTCTCTCTCTCTCTCCTCTCTCTCTCTCTCTCTCTCATCTCTCTCTCCCCCCTCTCTCCTTCCCTCTCTCTCTCTTTCTCTCTCCCTCCCTCTCGTCTCTCCCTCTCCCCTTCTCACCCTCTGTCTTTCTCTTTGCCACCGGTGTGATGAGCATTCAGTCTCTCGCCACGGAGCGGTGTCATTGAGATGGGGACATGCCACGGGACGTGTCTGCCTTTGTTTATGAGCAGGGGCATCGTCATCTTTTTCTGTCAAGTTGTTGGAGGCTACCTCTTTGCGTAACGCAATGAATCCGGCCGCAGTTTACACCCAAATCCGGCTGCAGTTGCACCAAATCCGGTTGCAATTACACCAAATCCACCGCAGTTACACGAAATCCAACAGAGCTACACCAAATCCGGTGCAATTACACAAAATCCACCGCAGTTACACGAGGTCCGGCAGAGCTACACCAAATCCGGCGCAGTTGCACCAAGTGGACGTACAGTAGATACACAAGCGAACAAACACTTGCTACAGCTTCCTTTAAATGCGCAAGATGCGGTAAATGCTAGCTTAGTTTGGCGAGTCCGTTACCCTTATGCAGCATGTGCGGCTAATAGCCGATCACTACCATGGGAGAGAAGACTGAAGATTCCCTAGGCTCGTGATTTTCATCCCACGAATCGCCCCGCCATCGGTACCGTTGTTGTATTTTTCGACGCATGGAATGCAACCATGTCACATGGGAGAGAAGACTGAAGATTTCCTAGGCTCGTGACTTTCATCCCACGAATCGTCCCGCCATCGGTACCGTTGTTGTATCCTTCGACGCATGGAATGCAGTCATGCCACATGCATTTCACATTACGGATGAGCATTCAGTTTCCGTTCCTTACCAAAATATCCGGATCGCAATTCTATCGCAATGTACGCAATTCACACTCAACCCGGCCTATTCAAGTGCAGGTGAAAGCTTGGTGCCGTGACTCCGCGCAACCATATCCAAACTCGTTGCTGCCATGTCGATCCCGGTTGCGCTGCTTCCGCCGCTAGCTCCTCCCTTGGAAGAAAGCATCCGTTTCTCAGCCTGGAGACGTTGCTCCTGCGGCGGAAGCACGACGAACATAAATTACCACCTGGCTACCCTTTGACGAGGTATTGGCTTACCGGCTCGGTCGGCCTCGCGCATGGTCTTAATTCTCCCTCCCGTTGCCAGACGTGCTGGGCGGCCGGGCTGGTAGGCATTAGCAACGCGGGTCTTGAAGAGCTGCGACAGCGTACAGCCAGGTCACGCTGGTTGGCTTCATGGTGTACCAAAATAATGACTTTGGTCCCGGACAAGACTTATATTCGTCCATGCAGCGTACTGGGACATTTGATATTTTGATAAGATATTGCGTCTTTCAGCTATCTGCTAGCGACAATACGAACAGTATCTGCGTCTAAGATCTGTTAGCTCATAGATCCTTCATGTGTACACCATGATTGTTTAGCACACGTCCGCGACACAAAGAAAGTAAACATGCGACACAACCACGCGAAATGACATACGACCCCCACCAAAGTGTGCAGGTATCTTCTATTTTGACAATTTTTTATGTGTCATTATGCAAAGCTCCGGGTTAGTTCCTGTCCGGCCAAATTCACATCTTTCTTGGATTACAGTCATATTGGCAGCTGCTTTTTGTTTTAAAAGGTAGGTCCCACGCTGCTTTATTCATCTATTTCTTAGACAGTCGGCACCTAAACATTTGATTCATGATGAAAGAGAAGACAGATGGTTATTTACTTTTTGAACGACCTCGTTCACAAGGAAGGAGGGCGCCTACGCCCTCCAGTGTACAGAAAATCTACTTTTACTAGGCTGGGGATGAGTTTTTCAGTATCATTCCAGTATCATTCAAGGTAAGCTCCATATAGACTAACACTTTTTGGGCGTACCATCCCAGCTCCACTTATCAATTTTGTCATGCTCAACTCGACTGTCTGAAGAAGCATTCTCGGAGTAATGACATCCTCTTAAGGATAATCGTTTGATTCATTCCGAGGTTCCTCAATTCCGAGCAGCTCTCTTCGTCCAAGCCTTTTGACGATCCGATACTCAGCAGTATCCATTTTTAAATCCTAGGATTATTCGTGGTGAATCCC